AGAGTGTCTGTTTTATTAGCAAAGTTACACCAGGTCTCTTGATTCATATTATCTATGTCAAAATACTTTTTTTTGATCAGAGAGGATGATTTTTTGGTTACTAGTTCTGGGCATTCCAAGGTGGCAATAAGTAAATAGTGGTCAGAAAGATCTGTTGGAGTAGAAGATAATCTGATTGTTTGCGTAGCTAATTTGGTGGAGCAGTATATATGATTAATTCTACTTGGGTTGCAGCCATTTCTATGGAAGGTAGGGAGTCTTGTATTTGCATTATCATAGCAGATATCTCTAATATTGAATAGATTACAATTTGCCAGGTTTCGAAAAAATTGATTAGAATGTTTAGGATTGATATGCCTTTTAGGTTCAGCGTTAAGATCGCTAATAAAGATCACCTGCATAGAAAGCTCAGCTGCTTGACCAAAAAGAAAGGATAATTTTGAATATAATTTTTTCGAAGAATATTGTCTGAGGGGGTAATATACGAATTGATAATACGAATACGATATTTATTTTGAAGTTGGATGTCTGCATAGATGATCATTTCCCAAAAACTACCGTGGTTAAAAATGTGATTAGCTATATATTTTTTAAATATTAATGCGACTCTGGTGTTATGTTCGTTAGGATCTAATTGGGTATTTGTTAATATAGTATAAGATTTGTCTAAGGTTAGTTTGAGGACGCGAACTGTTGAATATGTTAATTTGATATCTTGAAGTGCAATAATATTAGCATTGTATTATTTATATAGATTCATTAATAATTGTTGTTTGACAGTGTCTTTAAATGAGAGAACGTTGTGAGTGATGATGTTAAGGGTATGTAAAGAGTTTGGTCGATTAGGTACTATGTTAAAAGGATCAATTATTGTATTATTCATAATTAAAATTGGGATTGTTGGGGTGGGGATTCCTCTTCTACATCATAAAAATCTTTAGGTTTTTCTAACATGGCGACCGGAATATAACGACTGTCATGTAGTTGTTCTGCATTGATCATTAGGTATTGCATCATGTCTACCATTTTAAGGGCCTCGTTTAGTTTATCGACATTTGCTTGCAGGTTGCGTTTAAGGTGTAGATTTTCATCTTGGAGGGTTTTAATATCAATTTTTTAGGTAGTGATTACAGATTCAGATATATCTATACCAGGTCATACAATGTATTCTTCTTCTTACATATTTTCACCATAGGTTAAGCATTGATGATGGCAGCTTGTTTTGGAAAAGTCGAATATATTTTAAGAAGGGATTCCATAGTAGAAACTCTTTCATTAGTGAATTGTAGATCTTCATAGAAATGACCTAATTGTGTTGAGACTGTGTCTAGTTTAGTCATTAGAAGGTCCATTCTATCAGGTTGTTCGTGGTCATTGATATCGTTAATGGGTTTGGCGTAACCTTTAGAATTTAGGTGGAGGTATTCTGATTTGTCTGCCCAATCGTTCGTTGCATGAATGCTTGCGTTGAAAGAATTTTCCCCATTTGGTCTACTATTATTGATAGGAGGACGTGGCAAAATCTTTTTTGGTTGTGGTTGAGGGGTATCTGGTACTTTTCCCTTTCCATTATTAGTCATGTGAGTGAATGAGATCGACTTTGAAACGGGTTTGCTAGGCGCAGTATAGTTCTTGAATTGTGCCAGTTGATATCTTTGATAGAGATTTTGCATTTGTCTATCTTTGGGTGTTTGTCTTGCTTTCCGACAGTTATCCGACCGATGTCCTGATACTGAACATAAAAAGCAAAGTTTGCTAGCCGGATCTGTCCAAATTAGCCTCTTATGATCCAAGAAGATGGTATCTCCATTCAGTGCTACTTGGCGGTCTTCGTCATTCTTGAAGTAAAAAACTGCATATTGCAAATTACGGTAAGTAGCTTTAGATTTTGGTATAACAAATGCTGTGGTATTTACGGCTTTGCCAATAGGAATCAATTGTCTTCCATTTGTGTCTTTGGGGAGGTTAGTAAGTTTGAGTGAAAATTTTGATTTTTCTCTAATGACCATATTTTTGAGGGTGCAATGATGTACTCTAACCATATCTTTGAGCATAAAATATCTGTGCACTTGGTCCAATTGTGACATATAAGTACCTTCTTCGAATGTGAGTGTAGCTTGTTGCCATAAATTTTTTGTGGTCATGGTACAACTTGTAATCTTTTCAAAAAAGGAGAATAATGATCTGATATTTTGGGCTGGTGTGGATATTGGAATCTCCGTAATTTTGATTGATAATTCAAAGGTGAATTTGGCTGATTTTTTAATGACTAATAGTTAGAAGGTCTCATTGCCTAATTGGGTAATTTGCATTGTGATAGCACGGTCGAAGTCAGCAAGAGTTGAGAAACTGATTCTAATAATTTTAATCTGTTTGTTGTCCAAGTGTGGTCTAACCGATGCACTAATGAACGACGGTAGATGCAGTCCATTGAAAATTTCATTGGTCAGATTGATTTTTTCTTTGTTTGTGTGTTCGGATAAATTTTTTCGCTGGCGCAGTAGGCAAAGAAAAGGGGAGAGTCGTCTTCATAGGCAAAGTTGATAATATTAGTATTGCCGTTAGTTCCAAGCAAGTTTTCTGTAGTGTCGAAGCTTTCATCTTCACCATAATTTTTGACTGGTAGTATAGGAACTTCAGGTTGTT